ACACATGAACACAGAGAGGGGAACATCACACACTGGGGCCTGTCAAAGGATGGGGTGCTAGGGGAGGGATAGCAGAGAGAACTGTGGGGGGTAATATTAGGAGAAATACCTAATGTACATGACGGGGTGATGGATGCAGCAAACCACCATGGCACATGTATACCTATGTAACAAACCTGCACATTCTGCACATGTACCCTAGAACTTAAAGTATAGTAAAAGAAGAATCTCCATACTGTTTTCCATGGTGGTTGCACTAGTATACATTACCACCAGCAGTGTAAAAGTGTTCCTTTTTAATCACATTCACATGAATATCAACTATTTTTTAATATTTAAATTGCCATTTTTGCAGGAGTAAGATGGTTTCATGTTGTGGTTTTTATTCAGATTCCTTTAATAATTATTGATGTTTAGCATTTTTCATATGTTTATTGTCCATTTGTATATCTTCATTGGAGAATTGTCTATTCATGTCCTTAGTCCACTTTTTAATGAAGTTATTTATTTATTTACTTATTTTTCTGGCTGATTTGTTTAAGTCCTTGTAGATTCTGGATGTTAGTACTTTGTCAGATGAATAGTTCATGAAGATGTTCTCCCACTTCGTGCATTGTCTGTTTTCTGGTTATTTCTTTTGATGCACAGTAACTTTTGAATTTAATTATGTCCCATCTATTTATCTTTGTTTTTGTTGCATTTGCTTAGTGATTCTTGGTCATGAAGTCATTGCCTAAGCCAATGTCTAGAAGAGTTTTTCTGATTTAATCTTCTAGAACTTTTAAGATTTCCGGTCTTAGATTTAAGTATTTGATCCACCTTGAGTTGATTTTTGTATAAAGTGAGAGATGAGGATCCAGTTTTTTTTCTTCTGTATGTAACTCACCAATTATTTCAACACTATTTCTTGAATGGGATATCTTTTCTACACTTTGTGTTTTTGTTTGATTAATCAAAAATCAATTGGCTGTAAGTATTTACCTTTATTTCTGGATTCTCTATTGCATTCCACTGGTGTACCTGCCTGTTTTTATACTGGTATCATGGTGTTTTGGTAACTATAGCCTGGTAGTATACTTTGAAGTCAGGTAATGTGATGCCTCCAGATTTGTTCTTTTTTCTTAGTCTTGCTTTTGTTATGTGGGATCTTTTTTGGTTCCATATGAATTTTAGGATTGCTTTTTCTAGTTTTGTTAAAAATTATGATGGCATTTTAATGGAAATTGCATCAAATGTATAGATTGCTTTTAGTAGTACGGTCATTTTTACAATATTGATTCTATCCATCCATGAGCATGGGATGTGTTTTCATTTGTTTGTGTCCTCAGTAATTTCTTCCAGCCATGTTTTGTATTTTTTCTTGTAGAAATTTCACTTCCTTGATTAGATACATTTCTAAGTTGGCTTTTTTTTTTTTTTTTGGCAACTGTTGTAACAGGGTTAAGTTGTTGATTTGATTTTCAGCTTGGTCACTGTTGGTGCCTAGCAGTGTTACTGATTTGTTTTCATTGATTTTGTATACTGACACTTCATTTACTGATAAATGAATTCAGTAAACTAGTAAATTAGAAGCTTTTTGGATGACTCTTTGGGGTTTTCATGGGACATCATTATATCATTGGTGAACCATGACAGTTTGACTTCCTCTTTACCAGTTTGGATACCCTGTATTTCTTTCCCTTGTCTGATTACTCTAGCTAGGACTTCCAGTACTGGGTTGAACAGCAGTGGTGAAAGTGGGCATCCTTGTCTTGTTACAGTTCTCAGGAGAATGCTTTCAACTTCTCTGACTCCTTTCAGTATAATGTTGGCTGTGGGTTTGTCATAAATGTGTTTTATTGCCTTGAGTTATATCTCTTCTATGACAATTTTACTGAGGGTTTTCATCATAAAGGGAGACTGGATTTTGTCAGATGCTTTTTCTACATCTATTGACATCATAATATGTTTTTTTTTTCATTCTATGTGTGTGGTATATCACATTTATTGGCTTGCACCCAGCATACAATTTTTTTAAAACTATGATTTATGGAATGACATAAATCTAATTAATACAAGAGACTATATAAGGTCAATAGAACTTATAGCTAATTTTGTCATTAAGGGGAGAAAGATTTATGCCTTTCAAGCATTTCCCCATGTTATATATTAATTTCTAACTATGGAAGTGCCTAGTGAACATTAGTCTCTCTTTTATTTAGTTACATGTAACTAGGTAGAACAATGCTTATTTTATGGCATAACTGTTAAATAATATATATAAAGTAATTTAACACAATACTTTGTACATCATGAATGCTCAATAACTAGCTGTTATATACATGAAATTTCTCACTGATGTTTATTTTCCATTTTGATTGGAAAGTAGTAAGTGACATTTTCTCCTAAGAAATCAAACAGGGAAGCAAAGAAAAAGTAGTTTTGTTTTTGTTTTTGTTTTCGACACCAAATGTGACACATTTAAACATTTTTGTTTCTCTTCCTTTAATTGGAGAGGTTTTCGTCTGCTTTTGAGAATATAATTTCTAATCCATCCCCAGACGTTTGATCTTGGCTGTCAGTGCTACTGAATTTAAGGGCAGTAGTAACAGGAAACTAAGGCAAAGAAGATACTTTTTCTTTTTTGAGGAATCACTGATATAGAAACCAAATTTTCTAACAAAATCTTGAATTCTAGTAATAAAAAATGAACATATTTGTAAATCAAGGTTACTAATGTGAAAAATATTAAAATCTCTAAATATTTTTAAATTTGTTTTTTAAACTTTCATACTCTATTAATAACTATTTTATTTAAAAGGGTACTAGAAATATTTTTATTTTTAAGAGCACTAGAAATACTTTCTTAAATGATGGATTATAAATACATATTATTACACACATACATACACAGAGAAATACATATTAATTACTAAGCTTAAATCTATAATATTAAATAGCAATTGTATTAAAATGAATACCAGAATAAATGACAGTTAATATTTATTGTTAACTCTCTAATTAGATGAGAAATCATATGAGTTATAAAGAAAGAGGAAGCAAAAATATTATTCGAAATAAACATATTGTGTATCTGTAAAACACTAGAGATTTTTTAAATCATTTAAAAACTAGTTCAGTAAGGTGACTAAATAAGAAGTCTAAAAATAAGTATCTTGAGTGTGTTTTATTTAGAAAAATGTAGTGAAAGAAAGAGTACTACACACAATACAGTGAAGACAAAAAACACCTCTAAAAATTTACCAAAAATTGCATGGGACTAAAAGAATGAAAACTACATGAAATGCTACTGAGGTCCCAGGGCAGAACATTTGAAAAATAGTCAATATATATAAAATATTAATTATATAAGGATGAACAGAAAATCTAATGTAATCTAAAAAACAAAGTTCAGGAAGTCCATTTTATTAAACAGTTCACATTGAAAAATAAACATGTTATTAGTTGGAAAAAGAATATGATAAGAAAAAGGTTCACATGTATTAAAATGTGTTACTACTGTGATGTTTCCAATGCAAGGACTGGCATAACAGTGAAATTCCGTGGTAATTTTTTTTTTTTTTGAGATGGAGTTTCACTGTTGTTACCCAAACAAGTATGCAAAGTTTTGTACATAGCCTTTTAAAGCAGGGAAGAAGAAAGCAAATCACTCAATACATGTTTTTAATTTGCTTTTGTTTTGTTTTGTATATGACAAGGTCTCATTCTTTCATCCAGGCTGGAGTGCAGTGGCCCAATCTTGGCTAAATGCAACCTCTGCATTCCGGGTTCAAGCGATTTTCATTCCTCAGCCTCCCCAGTAGCTGGGATTACAGCTGTGTGCCACCATGCTTGGCTATTTTTGTATTTGTAGTAGAGATGGTGTTTCGCCAGTTTAGCCAGTCTGCTCTCGAACTCCTGGTCTCAAGTGATCAGCCTACCTTGGCCTCCCGAAGTGCTGGGATTACAGACCTGAGCCACTGTGACCAGCCTTGATAAATTGTATTTTTATAACTTCCTGAATGTTTGTTTTGAAAAAAAAATAAAAATTATATATATCTCACTTCTCACACCAAAACATATTCCAGATGTTTCAAAAATTTTAATAGGTAAAATAAATATAGAATGTTACTAAAACGCTATATAAATGGATTCCAAAAATGATATTGGACTAGGCATGGCCTTCTTTGTATATATATAAAATATAAAATGAGAATGTTTGAAAGAAAAAATAAAATCTGGATAAAAAACTTAATTAGATTTAATAAAATATTTGCAACATAGGTAGTGAATAAAAATATAATGAATATAGTACATAAAGAACACAAATTGTTTTTTTTAATGCCTGAACAATCATTTTACAATAAAAGAAATAGAAATAATATAAGCAATTATTAATTTGTAATAATCAAGAAATACCAAATTAAAATATGAGGAATATATATTTTACTGATGAAGTTGGAAATATACAATATTTCTCAGGATGTATGATAACTGTTAGGCATATGTTAAAGGTATTTACAGTAATTCCATTTCTACAAATTTCTGCTTCCCCTTCATAACTGTGGAAAGCAAAGATGCTCATTGTTTGTAATGGGAAAATTAGAAATAACTTTATAGTATATTTTCAGTGGAATGGTATAAATTGGTCTACAATCAAATAACATCAATTACTGGAATTAAATAAAAAATACACAGTTATTCTGGAAAAAGTCAAATTGCAAATCAATATATGTATTAGAATCTGCATGCAAATATTAATAAACATACACTAAAAATCTTGGCAGTGGTTCTCTCTGCAATGCGAGATTACACTTTCTACTGTTGTGTTGTTTGCTTTTTATATTGAGTATATTTTATTTACCTAAAGGCAATTAAAATAATGTAATAAAGTCCTAGTACTAGCTCCTTCTGCAGAGCACAGCAATAGGTGATGATACACATTTCAGTCTTCATATCTTTCCCAGAAGATAAAATGGCTTTTATAGAGACGGTAATCTCATTCTGTTTTCTTCTGCTAGGGAAAGGTGAACATGGGAAACCTTACCCCCTTACCGAAGAGGACCACGATGACTCAGCTTACAGGGAAAATGGTTTCAATATTTTCGTCAGCAACAATATTGCTCTAGAGAGGTCTCTGCCAGATATTCGTCATGCTAAGTGAGTATCCACACATCAGTAATCAGGGTAGGGTTTTTTGGTTTGTTTTGTCCTTTGATTTTTTAAAATGTTTGTCACTGTGAGATATGTAACCAAATATTTTATCCTAATCACTTTGATAAAAAAGTCATAGTACATCATCTTAAATATACTTGCTCTAAATTGAAGTCACCATTAAAATTTCAAAACAATACTGAATCTCTAAAAATTCAGTACACATTTTTGTTGACTGTATTAACTCATTACAATGAAATATTTTAAGACAATATCCATACGTTTAACTTTCGATCATGTAAATTACAAGGCAAGCATTTTTCACTGTTTATTCAAGCTACCAGAGCTGTCTACATGTGTGTGTCTTCTATGAACTCCATTCTCACCCCAGCTATATTTAGTGCCATGGTTGTTGCATTTCCATAAAGAATGCCCTACATGAATGTATCCGTAATCCAAAGGTAATGATTGCTGGTTCAATTTCTTGTCACGTTATGAACTGCTCGTGGCTTGTCTATTGATAGTGAGTACAGTTTGTATTGAATTGTAGCTACATATTATAGTTTAAATAATAGTATTATATATACTTACCCAAAATCCATTCTCTCTTTACCCACACCCATCTACCTCTAACATCACTTACTGTACTTTTCATTTTAATGTGTTACGGTATTTTTAATAGCATAAAAACACCAAAGGATACCAAGAACATGCAATGTGATAAGAATTAGGAATGTAGTATTGGCACATGTATTTGGTAAATCTGTCCAACTGTATTAGTACAGCTATCCTTCTACCCACAACAACCCAACAACTTCCCTTTGGAAACATCAGTGTGAGAGAGAGAAAACTGGGGGGAAAAATCAGGGCAACTAATTAAAATAAGAATTAGGAATCTAAATTAAACCAGTAATTTAATGTAAATAAAATTCCATACCTTTGTGCAAAGATAATTGACCCTTTAGAAAAAAATATCAGTACATTATGATGTGAAGGACTATTTTCCAGTTGTAATACTGTATCTTTAGAAACGTATTGAAAATTATGAAATAGTTACTGTTTTTCTCCTCAGGTTTTATGTGAATTTGCATTTCCCAATATAGTTAAGCAGAAGATTAATGTGAAGATCAAATCAATTTTTTCCTAAATTGAGGGCTTTAAATATTGACCCAAGCCTTTTAACCAGCCAAATTATCCCCAGGTTACCTGAAATTATCTACAGTAATTCCCACTGACAAATAACATTTCTAGTTATGAGAAATTTTAATACCTAATTGCACATAATCAAAGATGCATTAAATTGCATTGTTGGCATAATAAATATGCTCAGAGAATGATTTCCATCTATCCACTTCTTTCCCTCTCCACACTTCTAATCTCAGTCTCTTAATGTGTATTATTCAAGTGGAAAGAATAACAAGTATAGAAAGAGTGCAGACAATCACTGAAGCCAAAAGAAGGTGGTTATTCCCGTTCTTCCCCAAACCTGTGTTTTTAGTGTAACCACCACCTTTTAAGAAAAGATATCTTATGGAATAATGGGAAAAATGGAAAGATGTAAGAAAAATTTTTGAAATTGTTATTAGAGTTGCTGAATTTACAGTATGCAGAAAGCATTATTGTAAATGTTAAGGAAGAAAATTTGGGCAAAATATAATCTGTAATAATATTCTAACTTAGTTACTAAGGCTGGATGTTTAACAGGACAAGTGGTCATGTAGTAAGGAAAAAAGAGGCTGGGCATGGTGGCTTACGCCTGTAATCCAAGCACTTTGGAGGCCAAGGCGGACGGATCACCTGAGGTCGGGAGTTCAAGACCAGCCTGACTAACATGGTGAAACCCCGTCTTAAAAAAAGAAAAAAATGCAAAAACAAACAAATAAACAACAACAACAAGAAAAACCTCGAGAAGGTTTGAGATGGATAATGAGAAAGTGTTAAGTATGATACTACCAGGAATAAAGTTCACCTTGGTGAGGTCAGCATTTGACTCTCAGCAATGCTGGAAGAAAAGTCCAGTGTCACCTCTGATTTTGCCAGTGCTCCACGTGCAGGAAGCCAGGAGCAAGAATGCCTTACAGGTTCCCACTCTAAAGTACTATGTTTTTGATTTCATCTGTGCTTCACCAAAGGCAGGTACATTTAACCACAAGAGTATGCAGCTCTGTGTAAGTTTAAATTAATCGAAATTATAAATCAAATTGCAACATATTTCAGAATTATCAATTTAACTAGGCTGAAAGTATTGGACTATAGTTTTTTCATATTGACACAATCCATAGAATAGAATGCAAACTGTTTATGACTTCCAAAATAAAACATAAAAGTTCTAAGAAACTTGTCCTTTTCAGTAAGTCAACTGAAACTACAGTCTCGGAGTGCTAGGAGGGAAGAGTCTATTTTTCTTTATTCTAGGATTTTGCAAGGGAAGATTTGGGGCCTCCTATCTTGAGATTTAACTGAACTTGATCTTATTCTAAACCATACTAGTGAGACTTATGCCACTGTGCTACACTATTGGTCACTCCCTGTATATTCAAGTGCTCTGTACTCTCTCATATTCTCACGTTTAGTTTAAAAAATCATGGTTTTGTATGTTTTGATATAAAGTGTACATTCTAGTTCACTATGAAGAATATTTAAGACAAGTTATTTCAGAAATCCTAATGCATAGGCATTTACAAAAGACATTTTCCTATTCATTTCTTCTTTACTAGTATAAAAACAGACTGCTTTTCTGACTTTGTTAGAATCAGTAATAGCTTTCCATAATTAGGAGCCATGGATGAAGGATGATTGGCCTGTGTGCAATAACTTGATCAGACTTTTGTTTCTCCAAATAATAAATTTCAAGCTTTTCACTTTTGTTTTTAATTTTTTTATATTCTTTCCAAATGTTCTTAGCAGCTCTCTGTCTTACAGATTCTTACACTATCTATTCCTCGGTATATCAAATTTTTATCTTTTTTTATATACTCCTAGTCCTTCATTTTTGATTGATATTTTTTAGCATATACTTGATGTATTTTAAATACTCACTCCCTTCTTCCATTCATGTCAGGTTATGTCTATTCATAGTGCCTGTGATCAGCCTGGAATCTGTCCTTAGAACATCTTATCTTTATATTTTATTTAATGCAGTGTTGATAGGAATTTTACCATGAGCACTTTACAAATTTACAATGAGCATTTACAAATGTCCAATTAGTGAATATCTTACTGCCCTGGCTTGGTTTTGCCACACTTTAAGTTTTTCTCCACTTGGGTATTGTTTTTGCCATGTCTTTGTGTTCAGTCACCTACCTGAGATGTCACATATATTCTTTCCATGCTATGGAACACCTTATTTAGCTTATAGTTCAGGATGGGAGACATAAGACATCTATTTGAAATACACATATGAAACAGGGAAATGGATAACTATGTAAGAATGACCTATATAGAAAAGAAGCTCTGATAAATTTATGCATATGTCATTACTAAGATAAAATTGAAGAATTTTTAAGCAAGTATTACTCCCTGGCTATGGAAAAATTCATATCTATGAAAAAATAAAATAATTGAGATTAGGAAATGTAAGAACCATTCTGTCAGGAGAGTTGAGGTAGGCTCCACAGCAATTTCCGTTAAATGCATCCTTGATATGAGTTCCATTTTGGGGAGGCTGTTATAAATGTATGTGTGTGGGCTGGGCATGATGACTCACGCCTGTAATCATCCCAGCACTTTGGGAGGCTGAGGCAGGCAGATCACGAGGTCAGGAGTTTGAGACCAGCCTGGCCAACATAGTGAAATCCTGTCTCTACTAAAAATACAAAGATTAACTGGACATGGTGGTGGGTGCCTGTAATCTCAGCTACTTGGGAGGCTGAGGCTGGATAATCATTTGAACCTGAGAGGAGGAGGTTGCAGTGAGCCAAGATCGTGCCATTGCACTCCAGCCTGCATGACAGGGTGAGACTCTGTCTCAAAAAAAAAAAAAGTGTATGTGTTTATGTAGATAAATATTTATGCACATAAATGTTACCTGAGATAGACTACTAAGATTGCTGAGTAGCTGAGATATTTTAAAATTAGTATAGTCTTATGTTGTATTGTGACTTATCATTTCTTTTTTATGTCACTAATATTGCCCAGATATAAATAGTTTTAGGTTCATGCCTTTGAAAGTAACTTGAGCACGAGATATCACAGAGTTTTCTCCCAATACTCAATACTCCATTTATTATCAAAGTCATGAAGATAAAACTATTTCTATCTAAGAGAATGTTTACAGTCTCTTGGATAATAGGATTGCTTTCAGTAGTGTTGCAGTTATATCGGACTAATGTGTCATGGTCCTGTTTCCTGTAGTTTCAGAACCATTTGAGAGATGGTTCCAGAAATTATTTGCTATCAAAACATTCTCTTTATTATTGTTGCAATTCTATTGGTGAGCATGGTTTAGATGTAGGCCAAGTATTGTACTCAATACTGAAGTTCAGAATGAGGCACATTCAGCCTTCAAGTCAGAGACATTACTGGATAAAATACACAAAATTGTCAAACGTAAGTCATGGATGGCAGAATAAGATGACTGATCTCTGCAGGCAAGCAGGTTCCAAAGCAGAAAAAAAAAGCAAAGAAGGAGCTGGCCAAGTAGAGTAAGCTTTGTCATCCAAACTCACAAATCTCTTTCTCCAGGAAAGTCTGAAAAGGTGGAGAAAGGCCAGGAGTATTTGTCTAATGACTGTCCTGACATAAGGGAACACCTATGGAGAAAAGGAGTCTCCTTCTGTGATAACCAGTATATAGTACTTACACAGTACTTACAAGAAGTACTTACAAAGTAAGCACTGTGTGCTATTTCTCAACATATACGGACTTTGGAGCAAATTCTTGATTTTTCAGTGCCTTATATTCTAAACACTCCTGCCTTCCAGGAAACGTATTAAATAATGATTCTAAATATATTGACTTACACGACTTGCATTGTGATGCTGAACAAGTCAAATTGCATTTTTTAT